TCCCCCTGAGGAGGAAGGAGCAGCAGAAAAAAAGTATGATGAACTGACTGCAACCCCCATTCTCTATCCCTCTGTGCTTCTTGGGTTGAGGAGGTAGAGAAACCAGTAGTCTGGGAAAAAGGGAAGGGTGGGGGGAAGGTGATTTAAGATTTGGTTTTATTTCCCATTATCCTACTATGATTTTATTAGTAATAAATTAAATTAATTCCCCAAGTCGAGTCTGTTTTGCCCATGACGGTAATTAGTGAGTAATCTCTTCCAGTCCTCATCTCAGCCCACGAGCCTTTTGTCAAATTTTTCTCCCTTCTCTGTCCACCTGAGGTGGTGGAGTGATGCTTTGGTGGGCACCAGGCATCCATCCAGGGTCAACCCACCGCACCCATTCTATGTTATGCTGCGCTATGCTATGACATTCTAATTCTATTCCATTCCATTCTATTCCATTCTGTACTGGCCTGGATTTGGATAAAACAGAACCAATTCTCTTTTAGTGAATCTTCCTTAACAGCTAAGTTCATCTAAGTAACTGCATTTTTCTGAATTTGGCTGCATATTTTGCGGACACTGTCAGCTCCAAAGCTGGTAACACCTAATGTTTATAGTTTTACTGAGCTAATGGTAGGAATGGAACGCAGAAAAAGGCCTCTGTTTATAACTATTACTATAGCAGCCAAGGTTACCGATAGTCCTCTTAGGTCCTGCGAGTGAGGAGTCATAAAGGGTCGCACTTTCAGTGAGGGGCAAACCGAAGAGGTGATCTGATACAGTCTGCCGAGTTTCAGCACCCGTGAAAGGACGGGAACGACTCTTACACGCGTTGATACGATGCACAGTCAGATTCTTTATTATCCTGCTTGTGTGGTTATATACATTTTCCATATCTGTATACGCGATTATGCTTATTCGGCTAGGCTACAGACATAAATCACACGCTGTTTACACGCCTCACATTCCCTTATAATTGGTAACTATGCACTAAAGCCAATAGCAACAGACTGCCTCCACGTCCTTGAACACATCTCGTTTTTGCTAACCCACACCATGTGCACTATCAGAACTTTCTCAATGGTTATTCTTAGCTGTCTTTTCCAGCAGCCTGTTCAGTTACGCTGTTTTGCTTAAGCGGCCTAGTCGTGCTAATTCTCAAGCTACATCGACCCCAACAACTGACGAACTAGGTATTCCGCACCATACACGTCATACTCAGTCTAAAGTTGGGGCATCACAAGGGTCTTGCTCTCTTCATCCATGGCCGGCTTCTGAAGACGACTCTGCTCGTTGTTCTGCCTGTGATCCTGATCCAAATTCTGATCCATGCATTCCTGAGTCCAGTTCCTGTCTACTGCTGAGGCCACTTTGGGACTTCCTGGTGCCCCCCGGCAGCTGCTGGCGGGATGACAGCACCTCTGCCACCCAGCTCCTGGAATCTCAACATCACAGAATCACAGAATGGTTGGGATTGGAAGGGACCTCTGTGGGTCATCTAATCCAACCCCCCCTGCCGAAGCAGGGTCACCTACAGCAGGCTGCACAGGACCTTGTCCAGGTGGGTCTTGAATATCTCCAGAGAAGGAGACTCTACAGCCTCTCTGGGCAACCTGTTCCAGTGCTCCATCACCCTCAGGGTGAAGAAGTTCTTCCTCATGTTCAGACGGAACTTCCTCCGCTTCAGTTTGTGCCCATTGCCCCTTGTCCTGTCACTGGGCACCACTGAAAAGAGTCTGGCCCCATCCTCCTGACACCCACTCTCTTAATGAACACACATTTTTCTTGCCCAGTGGCAGTTACCTATGAAATACAGAACACCTTGGGTCTTCTCAATTAACAGAGGGAGTATCACCACTGCAAATGAGCCATTACGGATTATGCCATGACTTGGAAGGATCTAGTGTTTGCTCTAAATGCATAGAGTACAAGAGGGAGGCAATATAAGCCTAGTACTGAAAAGCGCTACACTCCTCAAAGGCAGGTTAGAAGATAACATGTTCAGGTTGATCCCCTCCCTTTGCTGTAATGTATCTCTCCCATTTCATGGTTGGTCATTTTTCGAGGAATTGGTCACTGTGAGTAACTGACACATCTCATGCCACTGAACCAGTGCCCTGTGTGCTGATTTTGGCTGGGGTAGAGTTAGTTTTCTTCATAGTAGCTAGTATGAGGCTGTGTTTTGGATTTGTGCTGAAAACTGGGTGGATAATACAAGGATGTTTTAGTTGTTGCTGAGCAGTGCTTACAGTACTTACAGAGCACAAAGGCCTTTTCTGCTTCTCACACCACCACACCAGTGAGTAGGCCAAGGGTGCACAAGAAGTTTGGAGGGTATAAAGCTGGGACAGATGACTCCAGCTGACCAAAGAGATATTCCATGCCATATGACATCATTCTCAGCATATAAAGCCAGAGGAAGAAGAAGGAAGAGGAGGGACATTCAGAGTGTTGGCTTTTGTCCTCCCAAGAAACTGTTAGGCATGATGGAGCCCTGCTTTGCTGGAGATGGCTGAACACCTGCCTGCTGATGGGAAGTAGTGAATGAATTCCTCATTTTGCTTCGCTTGTGTGTGGAGCTTTTGCTTTACATATTAAACTGTCTTTCTCTCAACCCAAAAGTTTTCTCACATTTACCCTTCTGATTCTCCCCCCATCCCAGCCGGGGAGAGTGAGCAAGTTGCTGTCTGGTGCTTAGCTGCCATCTGGGGTTAAACCACACCACCCTGATTGTCCTTTTAGTTATTTAAGAAATTTTTATCCATGAGAGTTTTAAACTCAGCCAAAGTGGTGGGATTCAGCTAACTTCGTTATTAATGGTGGCTTCAGCTCACCATGAATTACAGGTGATACTCAACTTGCAAATTAAGTCACTTAAATCTAGGTGCCCGTATTGGGTTTATGTGGCAAGGTTTTGATAGTGGAATGGTTTACAGGGGTAGCTTCTGTGAGAAGATGCCAGAAACTGCTCCCATGTCCAACAGAGGAAGCTCCAGCCAGCTCCTAAATGGACTCATCACTGGCTAAAGCTGAGCCCATCAGTGACATTGGTAGCACGTCTGTGATAACATATTTAAGAAAGTTTAAAAGAAGTGCTGTGCAACAGCAGCTGGGAGAGAGAGTGAGAAAATGTGAAAAACAACCCTGCAGACACCAAGGTCAGTGAAGAAGGAGTGGGAGGAGATGCTCCTCGTGCTGAAGAAAAAATTCCCCTGCATCCTGTAGAGAAGTTCATGGTGAAGCAGGCTGTCCCTCTGCAGCCCATGGACGTCCACCATGGAGCAAGAGGTCTGCCGTGGAGCAAGATGTCTGCCATGGAGTAGAGGTCCACCCTGCAGCCCATGGAGGAACCTATGCCAGAGCCGGTGGATGCGCTTGAAGGAGGCTGTGACCCTGTGGAGAGCCCATGCTGGTGCAGGTTCTTGGCAGGACCTGTCACCTCCTGTAGGAAAGCCCACCCTGGAGGAGGTCTTCTGGCAGGACCTGCGGCCCCACAGAGGACCCATGCTGGAGCAGTCTGTTCCTGAAGGACTGCACCCCATGGAATGGAAACAAGCTGGAGCAGTTCATGAAGCACTGCAGCACGTGGGAAGGAGCTATGCTGGAGGAGTTCGTGGAAGACTGTCTCCCATGGGAGGGACCACATACTGGAGCAGGGGAAGAATGTGAGGAGGAAGAAGTGGCAGAGACAACACATTATGAACTGACCGCAACACCCATTCCCCATCCCCTGTGCTGCTCAGGGGAAGGAGGTAGAGAAGTCAGGAGTGAAGTTGAGCCTGAGAAGAAGGATGGGGTGGGGGGAAGGTGTGTTCTAAGATCTGGTTTTATTTCTTATCATCCTACTCTGATTTGACTGGCAACAAAGGAAATTAATTTCCCCAAGTTGAGTCTGTTTTGCCTGCGACAGTAATTGCTGAGTGATCTCCCTGTCCTTATCTCAGCCGACAAGCTTCTTGTCATATTTTCTTCCCCTGTCCAGCTGAGGAGGGAGAGTGATAGGCAGTGTTGGTGGGCACCTGGTGACCAGGTCAACCTGCCACAATGCCGACATGTGAGCATGAGCTTTACTCTCCAGTTACAGATAGTAGAGAACAGAATGTCATTCACTTGCCTTAAGACAGACATCTCATCTTCAGCTGTTGCTTCAGGAGGGTCGCAGTATCCCATAAACCCCATGCTTTGGTAGCCCTGTGGGAGCTCAAATTGCATTAAGGCATTTGGGCAGCTGAATCTAACTCTTGACTCCCACTTCTTAAGTCAAACTAGCTTAACCAGCTGCTTACTTATAAGCAATTGTTCCCAAGTTTGATCACATCCAGTATGTGATCTGCGTATTTCACCCTTCTCACTTAATATCTCTTCTAAGCAGACGTCCAAAAAGACTGTATGCATATCATAGTTCACAATTTGATTGTTATTAGCAGTTTACTAACTTTGTATAAAATTAGAAATTTGCATTCATACTCTTCCTGGTAAACTGTTCTGATGGGTTTATTAGTTAAAAATGAATACACAAAAAATGCAACAAATACTAAAATAAATCCATGTTTCTTTCGTCCAGGTAGAATGAAATAAAATTACAATATCTGGCAGGTCTCGGTTTTTACAAAACTAGTTCTTAGTACAAGACGAATCCCTAGGAAGTGTTTCAGAGATTATTTCTTTCTTGACTATAGTTTCAAAAGCTGATATTACTTTTTTTCCTTCCTCTCTGCTTGCACATCCTCTGAAATTCACAACATTACTAATTTATTAATCTCCTTCTGGCCCTGTGGAAGGATGTCACAGAGAGGGTACTGTGTTTTACATGTTTACAGGGCGTACTCCCAACCACTTGCCATCAGAGCCTGGACTGAAGAACGGGTACAGAATCCCAGAAAACTCAAAAGAGAGAGACTCAAGAAGGCACTTTTCTTCAACATCAAAGAACGAAAGTGCCTGAAGTTCCTGATCCAGGAAAACACCTACCACACTGCAGGGTTTGCAAGTTCTTACAGTCACCTCACCAGTTAAGCTGTATTCTCCCTGAGAAAATTGCAGACTGAGTAAATACCCCTTCGGGAAAGTATTCATTGAGTTGCTCCTCAGTGCATTTCGAATTTCCTCACACACCACACCTAGTGCCCACTCGGGTTTGTCCCCCACCTCCACTTCCCAGTAATGTTTCTTTTCTGAAAACCCTTCATTCGCTACCACCATTGCTTTGGGCGGGATCTCTTTCTGGGTGGATGACATGACTCTGTTTTTCTCCTTAATGGTGAGGCTGGGATGTTTGCACTTCTCATCCAGAGTGATATTAACTTGAGAAAGAAATAAAAGGAAAAAAATGCAAAGCACCAAGTTATATCTGATTTTCAGGAAAACAAACAGTAATCTCAAAGGAACTGAATAAAGGAGAAACAAAAAAAATGAAATGAAATGAAATGAAATGAAATGAAATAAAATAAAATAAATAAAATAAAATACCCCAGGAATATACAGTGTGCTTTTATCAGACAAAAACTCAATAGCAGAAAGAATATTCAGCAGGGTATGCCTGTTCTCTGGCTTCACTGTGCCTTTATTAATTTACCTTTACCTTGACTGAGGGGATTCAGGTTCTTTGCTCAGACCCATCTGGCAGCTTGATTTTTTTGAGTAAAAACACAAAGCTGAATCTCTCAAAGCTACAGAACATGTAAAAAGTCCTAGTTGATACAGAAACGACTCACCCCAACTTGTGATACTGAGAACTGTGCAGATGGGAGATGCCTAAGAAAACCTAGATACCTGTTTCAACCAATAGGCTTCAAAATTTTCCCAAATTCTTATGGTCTGTGAGTTTTTCATAACACAAGGGATAGGCTCTGGTTGTGCATGAAAGAACATGAGGTTCATGGCAGGCAAGTCTTGGCTTACCTGCATTGCTACGAGCTCGCCTGAAATCTGCAAGCAAATAAATGAATGATGGATTAAAATTACTGAAGAATATTAATATACCTAATTTTAGTACATTATGGGGTTAGATTTGAAAAAACTATTTTTCAGCTTTCAACTCACCCAGTTCCTTCTGGACTTCTTCTGCAAAGGACAGAAAATTTCATTATCCACATGCGTGGCAAGGCTCTTCTGTAGGGTATCTGTGCTAATAAGAGTATTTATTTCCAATACTACCTTACTTAAGAATGACCTGGCCTAGGATTTAGGAAAGGATGCTAGCTTAATTTTGGAGGGCTAGAGGTTATCTAAACCCAAGCTGATCACCTGGGCGCTGTGCAGAGTCAGGAGAAAGAGAAGTGGTACATCAGAAAGTCTTTCTTCTTTGCTGTTTCAACTGCCAGTCTGAAACTACTCTTGGATGCCTCCGTCTCTCTATGCAGGAGCCAAGAATGTTGCCTTAGCCTCAATGCCCAAAATTTAGATAACTAGTTAGGTGATCTGAATCATCTGCGGGTATATACAGGACCTGTGGCCATGCTTCCAAACCCTGTCAGATGACAAGAGCTTCACATAGTCAACAGTTAAAATGCATATAAAGCTACATCTTTTTTTCCTTGCTTTCAAAAATACAATTTTGTTAGTAGGAAGGAAAATCTGTTTTCTACTCAGCTACAGCAAAAATAAAACCCTTAAAGGATGGAAATTTTGATCCCTTGTTATGGAAACAGACATTCTAGAGTCCAAGATTGTGACAGATAAACACCTTAGGGACAAGTAAGTCTCAGTGTGGAAGAGAATGCAATGCTGTGACAGCCCTCGAATGGAGGCACAGTTCAGTTCCAAAATGGTATTGCTAATCACAGATAACTTAAATTACTTTTAAGTACCAAAGTTAACTTGATGTCCTTACCAATTTTCCTGAGTAAATCCTGATTTTCTACAAAGAATCAAAATTAAATTAAAAGTTAGGATGACTAAAGCAGGTAAATTATCATACACTCAGGATGCATTTTGGAATACTGATATATAGATTATCTATATATATAGGATTAAACTGTTTATTGATCTCTAAATATCTGATCATATATATTAATATATATATGTAGGATTCATCTGTTTACTTTTGTAGGATAACAGACATGAAGTATATGACTTTTCTCTGGTATCAAATAATGTGTTGCACAAATACTCCTTAACACCAGATATGACCAAACAAATACAAGAAGATCTCAGAAACCATCAGGGAGTGATTCAGAACAAATAGCTCCCAAGGATATTTACAGTTCACAGAGCACCATGAGAGGGCAAGCTTGAGATTATATTTGTCTCGTACACAAATAAAACCTAATATTATCTTCTTATGGTTCTTAGTTTCACTGAGGACACCACTTGTCATAGGTGCTTTTTGAGAACCCTTTTATTCTCAGTGGACAACAGGAATTACATTGGGTTTTTTCCCTTTACATTCTTTTTAATGTTGTGATCACATGCTTCAGTCATTACTTTGTTCTGACATGCAATAAATATAATGTACCATTTATATATTATCTAGTAGTGGAAAAATAACTTTTATATATATATAGAGACAGATAAATATCTATAGACAGTCTCTAACTATAGATACATCAGTAAAAAGAGGGAAACTGTGTGTACACATACACAAAACAACTTTTCGATTATCTTTGGTTGGAATAGAGAAGTTAATCTTGCAAATGTGAAGTTCTGAGAGCGTTTTCCAACTCTAGTACTGAAAATTGCATAAAACACCACTATTTTGTTAGAATGGTTACCTGCAAAGCATCTTGCAGAGTATGGTTAAAAGAATAGCATGTGGTACTAAACACAGAGCAGAAAAAAAATGTTATTTTACCCTTATGGTAGCTGCTCTGCTCCTCAGCTGAAAAACAAAGCAACAAACTGAGAAACAGAAGAGAATGAGAAGAGAATATTTCAAGACAAAAAATTCACAAAATGTAACCAAGAATTTCAGTGTTAAAGAATGTACTCATTTAGGGAACTGTAGCTTGGCATTAAGTTCAGAATATAATTTCAAAATAGGCAAGGGATAAATTATTCTTTGGAGATACCTATCCTGTAGAAGAAGTCTAGATGATTGGCTTAGACTAGAAATATAAAATCCACTGGCTGAAAACAGGTGACATGGAAGATAATAATACCAGATATCATTAATTTAATGGAAAACCCCAACTTTAGAATAGAAGGACATTTTCATTATGGCTTCTCTTTCATGATGTTATAACTTTTTAAATATAGAGGATTCTTCTAACCAAAGTATCCTCAAAACCAGCATAACAAAGAAGTCAAAATATGCTCTTACCCAGTTCTTCGTTGAGTTGATCTATCTCTGAAAGAGATTATGTTTAAATATTAAACCCCATTTCCTGTCTTTAAAAAAAAAAACAAACACAAATACATGGCATTTTCTATCTGTTCCCCTGTGTTTTGCATTGAAATAGCTAAGATAAAATGAAATGATCTGAGCTTCACAAAAACAACCAGATGTTCACCTGCTATAAGGCAGGGTTACTATCTTCATTATGCTGGTACCTTCCCTTAAGGTGGGACCAAAAAGACTGGGCAAGAAATTCACCCTGGTAAAATGAAGTACTTCAGATGAATGAACTAACAGGGAAAAAACAAATGAATGCTTCAATGAGGGTGTGATTGAATGGCATTAGCTTGTTATTGAATGGCATTAGCACGTCCATCTGCAGATGACTCTTAGTACTTCTGTTGAAACAACTGAACCGTGTCCATATAATCGTAAACATGGCTTTATGAAAGCTGTCATTGATGTTTCTCCATGGTACTGTGAGGACTACTAAAAAGTTTCAAAAAAGTTTACTGGAATTACTTCATCCCTGGCATACTTTGCATACCCGGCTCACTTGCTCTTCACAGTAAAAGCAATCTTCTTATTCTACTTTTGTGCAATGCAGTCCTAACCAGTCTTTATCAAAAGATCGGAAAACTACTTCTTTTATTTTTCAGATTCTAGAGCTTAATTCTTTCTTTCCTTGCAGACTGAAATTCAGCACAAACCACTATCCCAAATTAAGAACACATTAACCTACCCAAACCAACCAACAGAACAATTTGGAAGCTCAAATACTGAGCAAAAAATACCAGCCATAGATCAACGTTCTCCATGGAATTAGTTGTCATCTTTGCAGTAGGAATTAATTATCATTAAATGGTCAGTATAAAAGGTATTGCAATGATTTTTTGAATTTTATTTTGCAAAATCAAAACAGTCACTAATATTTCCTGAGCTCAGCTTTTATCTGATTCTAAAGGATTAGAGAGATTTATAGGAAGAAATCACTGAGAAAAAGCTGTTACACTTACCTTTTTGAATATCCATTTGTGCATTTTCTGTGAACACGGAAATAATTTTATATCCCAAAAATAATTCTTCAAGCACTTAACATTCAGCTTTAAAGACTATACAGAAGTGATTAAGTCACAACAATGTATAGTCGTATGTATATATTTGTATGTATATATACATACTCATACTTGTTTGCATGCAAATTTCTGGTTTTAGATCCTGGGCAGCAGTTCACTCCCTCAGTTATGGCGAAGGGGTATTTTCTTTCCTTTAGCGTTACCATCAGTATAAAATAGCCCCTAGATACATTCTGCTTTTCTTCCGCAAGTCAGAATTCCCACCCCCCAAAAAATAAAATCTCATCCTGAGGATTACAATGCTCAGAAATGATGTAAATATTCAGAAAAACAATCAGATTTTCATTTTTGATAATGAAAATAACTTCCTAGCATGTAGTATTCTTCAAGCAGAGTATGTTGGATTGTCCAGAAGTTTACAATGGCCAGGAAGCCTAATTTTTTAAAACCTTTACTGTAGTTACTAGAGTGTACTCCATGTACAATTCAGAGGAGTAAGCTGGGTTCCTGCTCTGAACTACATCCTAATTTTCTTCATTGCTGGCGAGAGAAGAAAGATGCAAGCTATCTAAAAGAAGCTACATATCTTTTTTTCTTTTTCCTAAGACTTAAAATGAAATAAAGAAATTCAGAAAAAAAAAAACCCCACAAAACATTTTTAAGTGCCTCCAGTTTTCACTTGAAATGAAATTCTGTATGGAAAATTTTGCATCTACTAAAAGGTGGATTGGGTCTTGGCAGGGAAAAACTGTTCTGTGGACACATCTTCTGGCCAGAACACACTGTCACTTCTGTGCCCTGCTCAGTCACATCCATGTGGCAGTTTTAAACACACTCTAACATCGTATTTGGAGTGTCCAAAGAGTCATTCTATCAAGTTTTTGCGT